GAAGCTGCGCCCTCGCTAAGTCTCATAGAAGGAGTGCTGAAGGCCCCCTTCTCTCCGTCTGCAGTGCCCTCATCTGGCTCCTGTCCCAGCCCCAAAGACTCTCAATTTTCCACGATTGGTTTGGTCACACAGACAGAGGAAGGGAGAGAGAGAAAAGACTGGAGAGTAAGTTCAGAGAGCTTCCTGCCTGATGCCTCATCACTGCCCTCTGGATCCAATGTCCTGATGTTTAATGGTGGCAGCGTGGGCACTCTCACTTGCGGGCCACCAGGATGATGGTACCCTACTCTCTGCTCATACCTGTGGGTCGTCCTGTTCAGAGTTGCTGTGGTACAACTCCAGGGGGCACCAATCACATGAATTCTCTTTCCTCCTGCCAGTCTAATTTCCATTCTTTCTCCCTTCCTCTTAGGGCAACACGCCCAGTTTGGAACAATCTGAACATTCAGAATCAGGGACTCTAGATTCAGGAATGTAGAGCTTCATGGAACAAGTGTCCAAGGTTCCATCTCACCTGCCCAAGAAGACAGCAATCACTGGATGCCACCCTGCACAGCTGTCCTGTCCTCACCCATGGAATGGCACCAGTGTCTAGATACCAAGATGTGGGATCCTAGACTCTTCAATGTCCAGAGGCGGTGCCCCTGCCATCTGACCCTTACCTGGAAGGAGCTGAGAGACACTGGGCTGGTCTAAGGGAGACCAGCAGCTTCTGTTGAGAGGTGGCCCACAGAAAGCTCACCCAGGCTGGCAGCCCATGCAAGGACAACCAGGCTGCCAAACAGGCCTCTAAGTGACCTCCCACCCCCGTGCTGGTCACTGCACCCTCAGGAGGCAGCAAAGCACATGATTCAAAGCTTGGGTTTTTGGGTCAGCTGGTCTGGGTTCAAGTCCCACTTCTGTTATTTCCTGTGTGTTGGCAAGGCTTTTTCTCTAGGAGTTTCCATTTCCTGTTTGCAGATGGGTTTACCTTCTTGGGTTGCTATAAGGATTTAGTGAAATCTATTTCCCTGTGGCAGTCATTTTTACTGTCTGGCCTACTAGCATTAGTTCCCAGTGGCTTAAGCCATAAGCTCTTGCCTTCTCTTCCTTTTTGTAGTTTCTTTCCTTTTCTCTGGACCAGCGGTCCCGGGGATGTGGGACCTCCCAGTGGCACCTCCATGCTAGCCTAAAACGGTTGATTCAGTGGGGGTAGGGGTGGTTTTGAAATAGGGTATAAGTTTTCTTAGAGTGTCTGCATTGTCCCATCCAAAGCAGGGAGGGAGACCCCCTGGAGCCTCGAGGGCCTTTCATCCTGGCAACTCTGAATTCATGAAATCCACAGTCCTGGCATTGTAGGGCCAGGAACCTGGCTCCACAGTCAGCAAGAAGTTCCTTGCAGGAGACAGGCATGTTGTGTGCCGGCCAGGTAGCATTACACCACCAGGGGGCGCTGCCTAGCTGGGCGCTCTTCCCACTTCTCAAGGAGGCAGAACGGGAAGTTCTACGTTAGAAGCTTACGCTAGAGGGTTGTGTACAGGTAGATAGACCGAACTTCCAAGGTCCGCCACCTGGCAGGCTGGGAATGACAACAGGGACCCTTTACATCTCGGGCCCGTTACAGTAGACCTCCTGTTCCTCTAAAGACCATTCCATCTTATGACTAAGGGGATAATGCCCAGATAACAAGCCGGGACTCAGAGAGGTGAAAGGGTGTTGAAGGCCACACAACTGATAGTGGCAAAGCAGAGATCCCTCCTAGGCTTGCCTGATGTCAACCCTGGGGTTCTGCCATTTGACCAGCCGCAGAGGCTGAATGGTGAGGGGGAGGGAGAGTGTCCTGGGAGGCTGGAGGCGGGCGTGCATCCCACTCCACCTCCACCCAGTGCAGCTGACCATTCTTGTGCACTCCCTTCCCCTCCTGAGACGCCATGGGTGAGATCTCAGGGAACTTCTCTATTTGGAGGAGTTGGTGAGGGGCTCAGGATCAACATCAGCATGAGTGACGACCTCGTTACTCAACAAGACATGTGATTTTCCTGGCTCACAGCCTGGCCTCTTTAGGGATGATTTTCATCGTGTCAGAGACTTCCACATGCCCCAACTAGCCATGGACACCCTAGTTTGCCACTGCACCCCCAGTCTGGGGCAGATGCTGGGGTAGATGGAGCCCGGGCATCTGTGCTGACCCAGGGTGCCGAAGGCCACCATTCACTCTGTGCTGTGCCCCATGCTGAACGCTGTACATGTAGCCTCATTTGACCCTCATGCCAGCCCTGTGAGGCACACAGTTATGATCTCTGCTTTCCAGAGGGGAATGGAAGCTCAGAGCATACTTTAGCAGCCGTGGAGAGGAGACTTTCCCCCATTTCTGTCACTGATTGGCTAGATGAATGACGAGTGTTCAAGCTGGAGTCTTAGCACCTGCCTGGGCTCTGGAGAATGAGAAGGGCATGAGGGCTGGTTGTTCTTCAGCAAAGGTTTCCTGGGCATCCACCCTGGAGACAGAAATGAAGGACACAGTGGCCTTTCAGGAGCTCACAAACCCAAGAGCTCTGACAGGTCCCCAGTGGAGGACGAGTGGTAGCAATACCTGTGAGTGAGCATGTGCAGGGGCCAGCAAGGGAGACAAGGGGCTGTGGTGACCAGCCAAGGCTTACAGGAAGAGGGGAGAATGGAAACGGTCACCAAAGGGTAAGGAAGATCATGCTCTGTGGAGAGAGGTGTGGGAGACCTTCGAGCAAAGGCCAGCGCCTCAGGGTCTTGGGCAGGGTAGGGAGACAGCAAGAGGACCAGGGCTCCTCTCTGAGACACCCTTGGTCTGCAGGACGTAGATAAAGTGCAGGAAGACACTGGGTGTCCAGGGAAGGATGGGGGGCCTTCAGGAGCAAATGCACTATGATGCTGAAACCCGTCTCGGAGGAAAAAAATGAGGTTTTGCATTGACTCTAATCGGAAAACTGCATGTCTCCTCCATGTGTGTCCCCGTGGGAATGTGGATGTGTGAGTGTATGTTTGAAGCCTTATGTCAAAGTCCTTTTCCATTCATGATCTCTTTTTACTTGCCCAACTACTCTGAGAGGTTGGCTGGACAGAAATACCCTCGAGGCCAGATGAGAAAACAGAACCCTAGCGGGATAAAATGCCTTGCCCAGGGTCATGGGGCCCAATAGTTGAAAATCCAAGACTGATCTCAGGCTCCTGGGCCCAGCTCTATGCTCCTGCCCCTGAACCTTCTGCCCAGACCCCATCTTACCACCCAGGATTCGGCATGCCACAGGCCTTGCTTATACTCCCCGGGCATTCTCCCCTGGATCCTGGACTGTATGTGAGCCCTGCATTTCCACAGGAAACCCCCCAGCAGGTCTGGTGGGTCTAGGGGTGGGAGTGAAAGAATGATACCAGGAAGAGAAAGATTCCAGTGGCTGCAGAGGCCAGAGCCCAACGCCAGGCCTAGGGTTCATCTTCTCTTCCCAAACTGCTTTGAGCAACTACCACTGCCTTTAGAAGGAGCTGCCACAGAAGGGACCTGCGAGGAGTGAAGCCCTGTGCTGGTCCTCCAGGGCAGCCTGGGCCGTGGGTCTCGGATGAGGGCCTACTAGTTTGACTTCTTTCCAGAACCTCCAGTAGAATGGCAGAGAACTGAGGGCCTGGGGAGTTGTTCTCTGGCCCAATCCATAAGAGTAGGCATTTGCAAAGGTCTCACTTGATGCCAGGCACTGCCTTGAGTGGTTTGCACATATGTGTACAAGGAATCTTCACAAGCCCCTTGGAAAGAAGGTACCCTTATTACCTCTATTTTCAGGTGAGAGGGACGCACAGAGAGATTCAGTGACTTAACCCAAGGTCACTCACTTTATAAGTGGCAGAGCTGGGGTTTGAACCCAGAGAATCTACCTCTAAGAGCTTTTTTGCCTCTATTAAAAATAACCAAAGCTACCTTTTGGGTCCTACCTGCTACGTGCCTGGTACTTTGCTCCTCACAGCAAGGCAGTGCCTGAGGGGCTGATGTTCTCCCATTTCACAGATGAGCAAACCCAGGCTTAGGGAGCTGCCTGGGGTGAGGGGACTTCGGATTCTCACAGTTGCTAAGTCTGGCTAAATCCGAAGCTTCCTCCCCACTCAGCCTCTGGAGGGTCCGTTTGACTTGCTGTGTGACTATGGGAAGGTACACTCCTTTTAAGAGCCTCAGTTTCCCTATCACTGAGGCCTTTTGGCCCTGTCCTCCTTGATCCCGCAAGAGGCGTAAAGGGGTTGCGGTGCGGGACACCCCAGAGCCTTTCCCTTCTCCCATTGAACCGCGTCCCCCGCCACCTTCTCTCCCCGGCCTCTCCCCTCCCCCCGCCCACTTGCTGCGGCGTTTCTTTCCTCGATTGCTTGGAGTGAGTGAATGTGGATGGGCGAACCGTGAGGCGCTAGGTGCGAAATGCCTATGCCGTATCCCCGAGAGGTCAGCGAGACCCGGCAGAGAAGGCCCCGTTCTGACGCGCCGAAGGGCCGAAGGGCTGCGCAGCCACGTGCTCGGGCAGTTCCTCGCAGAGCTGACCGTCCTCTGGAAAAGAGCAGCGCTCCCAACTGGAGGAGGGGCTGGGGAAGGAGAGCCAGAGGAGGCCGATTCTGGGCAGAAGGGGTGGGGGTGGGGGGAGGTAGAGAGGACGCGGACAAAGGAGGCGGCCGGCAGCCCAGCTGTTTTGAAAAATGCTTCCTGTTTCTTTAAAGGCGCTCGCTGCTCGGGCGGCCGGGCTGGGAGGCGGTGGCGGCGGGAGCTGCCTGCTCTCCGGGCGGCGGCGCTGACTGATCTCGCGAACTGGGCTTCTGTGTAAACTGAGGCTAAACAAACACAGATGGAGCGCAGCGGGCGTGCTCCAGAAATGCTGGCACGGCGGCAGCGACTTCAGATGACACTCTGAGCGCTTCGGGAAGGGACTGCCCGGCGGCTTCGCGGAGCCGGCGGCGCAGCTGCCCCGGGCGCGGGGGTGAGACGAGAGAGGGCGGGAGGGAGGGAGGGCGGGGGCGAGTAGGGGAGAGCCCGAGCCTCCGAGGCGCCGACAGCGGCGGCCACCGGGCAGAGCCGGGCGCCGCGTGCAGAGCGAGCGCTGCGGGCGCGCGTTCCGGGCAGCCCCACGCCCCTGCCTCGCGCGCTGCCCGCGCCATGAAGCACATCCCAGTTCTCGAGGACGGGCCGTGGAAGACCGTGTGTGTAAAGGAGCTGAACGGCCTCAAGAAGCTCAAGCGGAAAGGCAAGGAGCCGGCGCGGCGTGCGAATGGCTATAAAACTTTCCGATTGGACTTGGAAGCGCCCGATCAAGGCGCCACTGCCACCAACGGGCTGCGGGACAGGACCCAGCGGCTGCAACCGGTCCCGGCCCCGGTGCCAGCCCCAGTGGCCCCGGCCATTCCCTCAGGTGCGGGCCCGGACACCTCTGGGGAGCGCGGGGGCGCCCGGGCGCCGGAGGTCTTGGATGCGCGGAAACGCGGCTTCGCCCTGAGCGCGGTGGGACCCCGACTGTCCACGCCGCCGCCGCCGCCGCCGCCCCCGCCAGCACCCCAGGGCCAGGTACCCGGGGGCCCGGAGGTACAGCCTTTCCGGGAACCCGGCCTGCGTCCCCGTATCTTGCTGTGCGCACCGCCTGCCCGCCCCATGCCTTCCGCACCCCCCGCGCCGCCGGAGACCTCGGTGCGCCCTGTGCCCCCTGCGCCCCCAGCGCGCCCCGGGGAAAGTTCCTACTCGTCAATTTCACACGTAATTTACAATAACCACCCGGATTCCTCCGCGTCGCCTAGGAAACGGCCGGGCGAAGCGACCGCCGCCTCCTCGGAGATCAAAGCCCTGCAGCAGACCCGGAGGCTCCTGGCGAACGCCCGGGAGCGGACGCGGGTGCACACCATCAGCGCAGCCTTCGAGGCGCTGCGCAAGCAGGTACCCACTCCCGGCCGCACACTCTCACTGCGCTCGGGGGAAAATTGCCAGTGGGTGGGTGAGTGCCCGAGAGAATTTAGGGAGGGGAGGGTGTGTGAGAATGTCAAGCTGTCCCCGCCCTGTCGGCCCCAGGATGCTGACAGGTTTGGGCCTCCCAGAGTAGTGACCGTTGCCAAGCGTTTGTTAGGTATATCTTAGTTTGCGAAGTGGGGGTGAAGGTCCCCCCAAGGCATGCCCTGGTCCTCCCAGCCCCTCCCCACGGGGTGACTCTGTGTGTCTGACTTGAGCACTCATCGTTAACTTTTATGGCAGTGAGTATTTGTCTCCCGGAGTTCCTCGGGAGAGGTGGGGAATGGAAAGGGGGAATGTGGGAATCTGGCGCGGAAGGGGAGAAGACCTTCCCTTCAGGCATTTGGCATGGTCCGGGGCCTGGACCCTCATTCCCTCTTCAGTGTCCAGTTTCCAGGAGGGATGTCCTACACTCAGGTTCCTTCTGTGCTCTGCACCCCTTGCCTTGGTGTCCTTAAAGACCCAGGCTGCAAGCCTGCGGTTCCTCCCCAGGGATGACTTAGAGATTGGCTGGTGAGAGCCTTCGCAGGAGTTCCCCTTCACCGCTGCCCTTCATTCCATGGTGAAGCAGGCAGGTCTGCTGAGGGGACTGGTTAGTTGGATCGGGACCTTCAGAGCCTAGTTCCGGGGTGGGTCAAGGACTACTCAGTTTGGGGCTGGTGGGGACTGCCCTCACTCTGCAATGCCTTGGGCGGGGGGATGGGTGGGGTGGGGCAATTTTACAATACCACTTTGGACAAGATTGACCTGGGGTTCTAGGCTTCTCAATTTTCTTAGAGAGAAGAGAGATCTAAGAAGGGGTGGTAAGTGTCCCCTGCTCCCACCCACACAGGGAATGGAGAAGGGCAGGAGGTGGATGTTACTGTAGTGAGGTTTTTTCCTTGCTCAGCAGCTGACTTCCTGTGTGACTCCAGGGAAGTAATTCACCCTCTCTGGGCTTGAGCCAGCAACAAAACAGTTCAGAAAACATGATCTTCTTTTTGGGTGACACTGGTCTTCCTCCTGTGGGTGGGGTGGGCAGTGGTGCCTGTGTCCATCCATGGGAAGGGAATTGAACTGGGGGAAAGAACCCGTATGACTTTCTAACCAAAGTGTCTTGCTTGGGTTTTGGGAAGATGTTTGCTCATTGAGTTGGGGTGGAGGGGGTCCAGTAGCTGACACAGACCAGGCGGGGCCACTGACCTTAGCAATGCCAGTTGGGACAGCGGGCAGAGGGGCCAGTGGAGCATCCAGCGTCTGGATGCTTGGGGAGGGCAATAGCCTATAGAGTGTGCTGCGGCCCACCGCTCAGGAAAGAAAGATGACACAAGGCCTGTCCACCTGCCAACTAGGGAGACCCTTCCCAGATTGAGGGGCCAGGTACTCAGGGCATCACAGCTGATGAATAGCAGAGCAGGGCTGGCGCCTATGTCCTTCCAGTGCCAGTTGAAGGCCCTTTCTACCCCTCTGGCTTCCTCCTTCAGTGTGGAGGAAATATTTTGCAGGTGGTGAGACAAGTTCAGGGAGCTTGTGTCAGGTGATCGAAGCCTTGCAGGTTTTGCCCCGCACACCTCCTTGGCATGCCATTCACTAGTCTCCAGTGTACTGCTGCCTTCTTGGCATGGTGCAGCCGCAGCCTGCATAGCTGTGTGCCACTGTCATTGCAGAGCCTGGCTTCGAATTGGGGTTAGTGAGTCACGTCAATGCCTAGGCTCTCCTCGGCCTGTTGAATACCCCAGAGCTGTCCACCCTCAGCACTAAGGAAGCCACGCAGCCTCCTGTTTTGTCCGTCCCACTATCCTCTCAACCAGGAAGGGAGTTTGTGGGGAGAGGCTGCTTAAGCCACAGAGGTGCAGGTCGGGGACAGGCCCTCTGGGTGGGGGGTGTGTGATAGCAAGGCCAGGTTGGTGTGTGTGGGGGGGGCAGATGGTCAGGCCTCAGCACATGCCACCAGCCCAGCTGCACAGGGCCCTCCCCGCCCCCTCATGTGAAGGCCATGTGTGCACAGCTGGGCCTGGCCCATGTGCAGGGCTGCTGCAGGACCAGGTGGGAGGAGTTTGAGGGGGGCAGCCCGGCCTTGCTGGGTGGGTGAGGGGGGCGCCAGCGCTGTGGGCCTCAGACTCCTGGCAGAACCTTCTGGCTCACAGACTGTGCTCACTCTTGGGGCATCTGGTGTGTGTGCAGATTGCCTTTCTCCCCTGAAAGTGGGAAGCCCCTCAGTCTTGATGGAGGAAGGGCAGCCTTGCAGGCAGAGGCCCGAGGCATCAGGGAGGAGACCTCAGGACCTGCTGAGGTGCCTCTTCATGAAGGAGGTGCCAAGTGGGTGAGGCCCAGGCCCCTCCTCGGCTGCCTCCCAAGGGATCCTCACCAAAGGGGCTCAGGGTGGCCCAGGTAGCGTCCCTTCCCCCGCACCTCTCTCAGTCTCAGACCCCTCTGTCCTGCTCCCTCACGTCCACAGTCACCAGGGCGGCTGCTGAGGAGCCTCATTGAGCCTATTGTTGCGTATCTGTAATGTACTTCCCATGTTACAGATGAGGACACTTACAGAGAGATTAAACAAGTGACCAGGATTTTTACCCAGACTTATCTGACCCTGAGGCATGGCTCCTAATTATTAAAACTCAGGTTCTCAGGGTCTAGCCTGTTGCTGTGTATAACTTGACAGGAACCTTGAGCAGTTCTGCATAGAGTGTTTTTGTCTCAGAAAGTCTGTGCTTACTGACATAGTAATTTCAAGTGGAATCAAATGCTGAGCTGTATTCCATGGGCAGCGTTGGGCTCTGCGGGTTCAGGAGTCTCGGTGGGCTTCCAGGAGGGTGCCTGGGCTGGGTATGAAGGGTGGGCAGGAGCTGGCACAGAGGCCAGTGGGGAGAGGGCTTCCAGGCCTCTCCTGCGTTGGCTGGTGGGTTCTTGGCTTGGTTTCTCTGTAGCACCTTCCTGCATTTGCCCACAGTGATCCCATTCTGAGGAATCGGTATTCTGATGCCCATGTTATTGGTGAGAAAACTGAGGTCCCCAAGGGTTATGAACCTCCCTGAGGTCATGTGGATGACCAGGGGTAGAGCCAGCCCTCAGGCCCCCAGGACAGTGCATTTTTGCATTTTCCTGTTTCCTTGAACTTGGAGAGGGTCCAACTTGGGGTGGGTGGGGTATATGTTCTGGGGGCAAATGGGACCTCAGGACAGTCCCCAAATTTACTCTTCTGAAGCTGAAAAATCTTCATGGTATGAACACAGGGCAGGTCCTTTTACTTTCCCAGAAGCTGGGCAGTCTCTCAGGAGTGGGAGCCAAGTGACCCTGCTGCCCGCTCTGCCCTGTGTCCTCTGCCCAGAGTGAGCAGACAAGAGCTGCAGGGTCTTCTGCAGGCAGTGGGGTGGCTGGGCTCTAGGTCTCAGTATGGGTGCTCAAAGAGGTAACGCACAAAGGCTGGGGTCCCGTGGGATCAGTCTGGAACTCTCCATCTGCAGATGAGAGGGGTGGCCTGTCCACCTCCCCATCGTAGGCTCTAGATGCCCATCCAAATCCCCAAGCAGTTGCTTTTGGCTAACTGAGCGGGGAGTTCAAAACTTAAAAAAATCTCCCATCAGCTGAGAGTCATGGGGTATTCTTACACACCCACTATTAAATGCTCCTGTCAAGTAGAAGTGATGCTTTCTACCTCTTGAAGCTGTTTTAGGATGAATGTAGGCAGGTAGGCAAAACGCTCAACCCTCTACCTGCCTTTGTAGACCACAATAAACAGCAAGGGGTAGCCTGGTCCAAGCGGTCACGGACGGCAGGCATGGGCTATTAGCCCACTCTCCGGATGAGGAAACTGAGGCTCAGAGGTGAAAGGCACTTGCCCAAAGTTACACTGCAGAGTGCCTGGGATTTAGACCAGCTCTTCCCAGAATTAGAACCTGCCATGAGATTCTCACTTTGCAGTAGCGCCCAGGCTAGGGTGCCTCTGCGTTGGGGTCTCAGGGCCCAGGTGCTATGTGCTGCAGCTTGGGCACCAGGAGGATCTGGAATTAGGTTAGCTGAGGAGCACACCCCCCACCAGGGGAGGGAGAGGAGAGGTGATATGATCAGAAGTTGCAATTGGTGTCCCGTCTGTGGCCGCCTCTGGTGGTGGGAACGGGGAGAGCCCAGTGGCCCTGTGCCTTCCTTGGACACAGGCAAACTTTTGGTCCCAAATAGGTCTTAGCTGTGTGACTGGGGCCCAATATGTCATATTTCTGTTTCTTTATGTGCAGATGGGGTAATAATCTTTTTTTTTTTTTTTTTTTTTTTTTTTTTTTTGTGGGGGAAGATTTTAAATGGGATAAAACTACTTGTAAACAGCTTATGCAACCAGAACTCAATAGATAGTGTTCTTGTTAGACCTGGACTTTGACAGAAGCAGTGAGACAGAGTGACAAATCTGGGACAAAACTGGCCCAGAACCTGGCACCTGAGCCCTTAAGTTGGCCTTGACCTCATCTGTTGCTCTGTATTCCCACAGTCATCCTGGATCCCCACGTGCGGAACACTCCCCAGATACCGACTCCCGACTGGCAGGGCAGGCAGCTGTTCAGGGGCCAAGGGCTCACAGAGCTGAATAACTTCCAGCGCGGCCTCTAGGTGAAGGCAACGCCAGGGCCTGTGTCACAAAGCTGCGTCCCACGTCCAGGGCCTCCCCCAGAAGGCCCTCCCTCCCTGGGGTCCTCTGTCCCAGGATTATCAGGAACCTTTCTGTCCCACAGACCTTGTTTATTTGTTCATGCTGATAAAACAGGATTCTCTGGCCTCTGGTTGGGAACATGCAAAGTGCATTGTTCTGCCGGCTTTTCTTGGATGGGTTTAGAGCCGTCGCCAGGCTGGGAGTGGGAGGTAGGAAAGGGAAATGCATTGGAGGTTGCCATTCTCTCTGTCACCTCCCTGCCCCTCCCTGGGTTTCCTAGCTTGGTGAGGAGCAACTCCTGGGCTGCTGGAGCATTTTAAAAGGTGACGGCAAACCTTGCTTCTCGTGTGGGTGTGTCTCAGGACCCCCTGGGGGTAGGTGATAAGCAAGGTGTCTTGGCTCCAGATTTCCTGCTTCTCCCCTTCTCTGCAGCTGCTCTTTGGAGACCTGCAACACCAGCTGGACTATTTTGCTGACTTGTATCAAGCCTTACTCTGAGCAGTGCATATGTCATCTCATTTAATCCCTACCATGCTGTGAGGTCACTCCTGTTAGCAATATGACGAGGCCACCAGAGCTCAGAAAGATTATGTCACTCACCCAGGGTCTCATAGTTAGGAAAGGCTAGAGCCAGGAGTTAAACTAGGTGACCAGAATGTTTGTGTGCTTACGCTCTAGGCCAAATAGCTAAATCTTCATTCTCAGAATGAGGAAAGGATTTTGAACCCAGTTCTAAACATTCTGGAGTCACGTGGCAAATATGGAGGGAGATCATTCTTTTTTTCTCACGCATTTTCTTTTTCCACAAACCCTTTTGAGTGCCTGTTATGAACAGGACCTGTGCCAGGCTCTGCAGATAGGGGCCTTTCCCTACACCTTACAGGGAGACTGACCATTAAATGAGTCTCAATTAGCAGGAGTTAAGGACAGTTGGGGAGCTATTAGAGCACCACCAAGGGCAGGCACCTCCCACCTTACCTTCAGCCTCCTTGTTTAGTGTTGGGGTGGGGCAGTCAGAGAAAGCTAATGGACAAAGCGAGGTTCAAAGTGAGATCAAAGTACCTGTTACATGTAGGGCGCCTGTCTGAGGTGATCATGCTGTTCATGCTTTATCCCCGGGGCCTAGAATAGCGTTTCTCAACTTCAGCATCTTTGACATTTTGGGTCGGGTATTTATTTGCTGTGGGAACATCACAGGATCCTGCACATGGTAGGATGTTTAGCAGCATCCCTGGCCTCCACTTACTACGGGCCAGTACCTCGCCTCTGCTCCCAGTAGTGACAATCAAGAATGTCTGCAGACATTGCTGACCGTCCTCAGAACAACAAAATTGTCGCTGGGAGAGAACCACTGACCTAGAACAGTGCCTAGCATATGGGGGGCGGTGCTCACTAAATACTTGCTGAGTGGATGTGCCATGGCGGTCCCACTCTGTGGGATGAGGGTTAATTAGTACCAGGTATCGGTGGCAGATAAATCTGCTGTGTATAGATCCTGGAGAGCTAGAGAGGGGAAGAAACGTGGAGCCTTGGTGGCTGGTGGAGCACATTTCGGCCGTTTAGGTGAAGGTGCCTCATGGCAGCAGCGGCTCTGATGATGAGCCACTGCCAGGTGGACTTTGTGGTGACCTTTCCACACTATAACCCATAACTGTGCTGCAGGCCTCATAGGTTTTGACTCCTGCGGCACAAATGTTGGTGGACAGGGTTAAAAAATTAGAGTCTTCACCTCTTCACCTGGTACAAATTTCCGTGGAATTAGTGTCTATTCGGTGAGGAGCCACTGACAAATGTGTAAGGTTTGGTTGGGGCTGTAAATGTTTATTATGCATGTGTTGTGTGCCCAGCAGCATCCCAGGTCCAGAAGGGGCGTAAAGAAAAAGAGAAAAGAAAAGGAAAACCAACCACATGTGTGCCCTCCCCGCTGAGCACCGGCACTTTTCCTTCTTCTGTGTTCCCAGGGTCCCTAACTCCGTTATGAGGATAGGAATCACATTATTCATTGTCAGAACCTCAAGTGCCTAGCAAAACAAGCCTCACCGAATGAACGAGTGAATAAATGGAATATCAGAGCTGATGAAAAATGTCTGTTTTCTCAGAGCTGCTAAAAAAGGTTTATTCTCAGGGAGGCATGGGGACAGAGCTCTGTCATGGTGGGAACACACTGTGCTTCATTCAGACCGACTTGCAGGCATGAACTGAATCTGTTTCCTCCGCTACAAAATGGAAATTTGTATCCCTCCCTGAGTTTGTTAGTGGATGAGCTGAGATGTGTGTGAGGAAACCGGGTGTTTAGAACAGACAATACAATGCAGTCACGGGCTTAGGCAGGCCACCTCCACTGCCCAGCAGTCCCTCTCGGGGGGTGCATGTGTCACTGTGAGCAGACGGATGCCTGCCTGGCCAGGATGCCCGCAGGGTTGCGCTCAGCACAGAGACTCCGGCAGCTCCTCCTGACGCCTTCTCACCCACCAGGTACCGTGTTACTCATACGGGCAGAAGCTATCCAAACTGGCCATCCTGAGGATTGCCTGTAACTACATCCTGTCCCTGGCGCGGCTGGCTGACCTCGACTACAGTGCAGACCGCAGCAACCTCAGCTTCTCCGAGTGCGTGCAGCGCTGCACCCGCACCCTGCAGGCCGAGGGACGTGCCAAGAAGCGCAAGGTATGTGCCAGCCACTCAGGTAGCAGCCTCTGCAAGAGGACAGGGGGGATGGGGTCAGGAACTTGGGGTGCCCTAACTCACCCAGGCTTCCAGAAGGCTTTTTGTGCTTTGCTGGGGTCGCTCCAGCTTCATAGCCCCTCACAGTCCTGGGATTATGGACGTGACCCTACTCCTGGTAAGGAGGCTGCTGGGGACCTTCACCCAGGGCTTCTGGGCCTGGGTTTGCTTATCAATGAAATGAGGACAACTTGTCTCTGAAGCTCTTTCCAGGCTTCTGTGCTCTGGTGCTGAATTCCCTGAGTTCCCCATATGGGCCCTGATAGATGTTGTATCAGGATGGGATCCCCTGAGTAGATTAGAGCCCAGAGAACCCTTGGGCATGTTTTGGGACTGTGACTGGATCTGTGGGTTATCTGAGGCCATGCATTAAGGTGGGTGATGTTCATTCATTCATTCACTCATTCTTCCTTGGAGGAATTTGGTGACCTCCAATCTGAGTATGCTGGCAGGACTATCAAGATGATAAACTTATGGTCCCAGACCCCGCACACCTTACAGGATGATTAGAGAGACCCTCTTGCTAGTAGATAAGGGCAGGACAGCGTGGTGCGTGTGTCCCCGAGGCCGTGCTAGGGGCTGTGGAAGGCCAGGCAGAGGAGGGATGGGTTACCTCTCCTGCCCAGGGGAGTTTGAAAGGACATCTTAGTGTTAGTGGGGTTTGAGCTGGGACCAGCAGGACAACCAAGAGGTCACCAGGTAGATGAGGCAGAGGTGTTTGGAAAGCCTGATGTGTTTGGAGAAATATGCGCAGGAGGAGAGGTGTTGGGCATAACTATGGTTCCCAGATGCCTGTACCTCAGCATTTCCAGTTGGGGGCCAGCACTAGGCAGTGCTAAGCAAGGCCTATGGCAACCCTCTGGATCTCTGTTCCCACACGGCTTGAGAAAGAGTGACAGAGGGCGGGACCCAGTCTGTATCTGCGAGGAGGGTGGCTAACTCCCCTGGGCGTTCAGACATTGGGGTGGGGAGCCGGCTAACGGGCACCCTCCGTGGGTTTCTCCCTTCCTGGGCCTCCCCTCCCCCAACGCTTACTCCCCCTCCCTCCTTCCCAGCAGGCCCTCTAGGGTTCTCCAGGGTTCCCGGGGGCCCCTGGGCCCCTGCCAGAAAGGCTGTCCGTGGGCCCTCCTGCCTGTACCAGGGAGGGCCCCGGCGTGTCCTCACAGCCAGCCAGCTGCTGCTGCTGTGATAATTGCGCATTGCATTCCTGGGAGTGATTAACAAGGGCCAGTTAGATGAGATCTTCATCAAGTGGGTGAGAGAGGAAGCGCCAGTGGCTGCTCACAGGGCAGCTTTCCACTGGAAAGTGACACGGGTAAATTAAGGGCGTGATTGATGGCTTCATGCAAGGCTCTGTGACAAAGGAGGTTTGTAAACTCTCTGTGACTGTCCCCTGGTATTTGGGCGGTCTGGAGGTCTGGATGGGCAAAGTGGGCAGGCACCATTTTTTCCATCTCTGCTCCTCATTGCCCCCTCTTTCCAGTTCCTCCCCTCACTCACCACAGACAGGAGCAGCTGGACCCACTCCCTTCCCTGGTCCTTGATTGGAATACGCAGTGTCCTGGGCTGGGGAGGAGGCTGACACCTGTATGGTGAGACAGGAGGGAAAGTACAGTAAAGATGCCCAGTGGAGATGAGATTTTGGTTTCCCATGAAGTCACCAAATCTAAGAAACTATCTGGTCCAACCTCCCCATTGTTCAGATTGGGAGGCTGAGGTGGAAGGTTGTGGTGAAGAGCATCAAACAGCTCTGACTTCAAAGTCCTGTCTTGTTACCTACCAGCTGTGTCATCTTGGACCTATTTCTTAATCTCTTTGAGCCAAGTGCTGGGACTGGGCAGTCACCACTGCCAAGAGGACTTAGATGGAGAGACAGGACAAGGTCCTGGAGCTGCTGGGACCTCTGAGGGCTTCTCTGGGCCCAGCTTTCTGCCCCGGCAGATTGGAGGCTCATAGGACTGCCCCACTCCTGCTGCTGTGCCTTCCTGCTTCTCTGTCGCCATGCAGGTGTGTGGGTGCCAAAGGATCTTTAGGGATGGTCTCCAGGGACCAACCCAGTGGACCTGAGTGGCTGGGGTAGGCCTCTGTTTTGTTGACTAGACCAAGGGATATGGTTTCTCTAGAGATTCATTCATTTATTCATTCATTCGTTCAATGTTTATTGAGCACCTAAAGCAAGTTACACAATGAGGAATTCTATGCCAAGCCTATGGGCACTGTGATGGGATGTTAATGATGGAGCAGGCGTGATTCTCTATAGTCCCTGTAGACAGAGAATATGGGTTTGGGGCCCAGATCAAACCCCTATTATCCCTTCTTTGCAGCCATGGGGGACAGCCTAAGGGTTAGGGAGATAGAAAGCAAAGAAAGGAAGAAAGAAACTAGAAAACAAGAAAGTCCTCAATCAATGGCAGCTGGGATGGTAATGGTCACCAATGCGACTGATGATGGTTCGAGCTGTCCCACTCGAGGATGGCTCCCTCACAGTTAATGTGCCCTGAAAGGCCAGGCGATCTTTTTGAGGTCGCCCCCTTGAGAGATTGCACTCAGGTCCTCTGAGATCGCTTGCAGTTCTGATGAGTTGCCATCTCTCTCCAGCCTGTGTTAAGAATGGGATTTCAGGTGAAGCCTGCTGACCCCCAAGGCCCCAGGCGCATTGTCTTACCCTCCTCAGATCTTCCCTCCTGGGGTGGGGGACCTGCATCCCTTGACCGGCGAATCTTCCATCTTAGGACCTTGCGGGATGTGATTTGGGGGATTCAGAGCCCCGTTTGGAAGTCCCAGCAGTGCAGAGGCCAGCGTCAGAGGCCGCCCAGCAGAGACACAGGCGGGAGGAGTGGAAAGGCTCTGGAGAGCTCAGTTCTGACTCCGGCTGCAGCCGGAGATAATGCACGTTAAGCACCTGGCTCTGGGCCATGTTTCCGCAGCTCCTGTTTTTAAAGCAGCAACTCCTGAAAGCTAAGGAGGAGGAGACGAATGAGGAGGAGGAGGGAAGGAAGAGGAGGAGGATGGAGAGGAGGAGGGGAAGGAGGCAGAGAAGGAAGAAAAAGAGGGAGAAGGAAGAAAAGGAGGATGGGGAGGGGGAAGAAGAGCAGCAGAACTATTTTGCACCTGCACTGGGCGGGCCTTGCCAGACCTGAGAAATAGGGAAGGACCCATTTCCCACCAACAGGGCACCCTCCTCCAGGGATTTTAAGCAATTGAGTAGTAATAACATTATCTTCAACAACAACAACTACTGCTAACACGGATGGCGTAGTTTGAGCCCTGGTAATAAATGGCCAGTCAGTTCCGGTACTCACGTGACTGTAGCCTGCTGGCACAGTCAGGGAAAGTGGCCTCTGCAAGGCCAGGGTGGTTCCTCACACTGTGGGCGACCTGAAGCCAGAGGAGGCGTGATGCCGGTGCAGCTCCCTCCGACCTGTGTCTTCCTTTTCCTGCTGATCTCTAGGCAGGAGAGGCCTTCCATGGTGATGGAAGTCTGAGGGTGGCCCAACTCCTCAAGAATGTCTCAGGTGCCGATGTGTGTAGCGTCAGTGTTAGGGACAAGCTGAGGTGGCACGTTGGTTTTGGGTCAGGGATCGGTGGGAGCTGAGGGTGTCCCGAAGGGCTCCTTACTGTCCAAGTGGCGGAGCCCAGGTCTCCAACAGGACCCAGTGGCACCTGCTCTTTCTTTGGACTGTTCCTGAGCCCCTGAGTGTGGGAGGCAGAGCCTCGAGAGCTCTAGCTCTGGCAGGATCCAGCCCCCGGGGCGCAAAGCGTCTTATGCCTCCAGAGGGCAACTGTCCTGGCATTGCCCACACCTGCCATCTTCATAGTCACCCTCATGAGGCCCTCCTCAATCTCAACTTCTGTAAAGTGAGTTGTTGATGGAAGTGATTTCTAAGGCCCTTTTCAGTTAGACTTCTGAGCTGAGGTCACCTCAGCCTCCTTTTCTGTCTAAATGACAGACTGTGTTACTCTCACTTGCCCCTCTGCCCATCACAGGCATTTCACACAGATTGGAAAGTCACTCACAGAGACCCTTGAGACCCCAATGCAGTGCGCCCCGAGATCACTGATGACACCTGACGTTCTCAGAGCCTGGATTATAAGCCAGGCGTGGTGTTTAGTGTTTCTGACGCATCGCCTCATTGACTGCTCCTGCCATCCCTGCAGGGTAGGAGCTGGTGTTGTCCCACTGCACAAATAATGAAAGCGAGGCTGAGGGCCTGAGGAGCTTGCCCAGGGACACCCAGCCAGGAAGAGAGGTGCCTCTGGGCTCTTACCACTTCCTGTTCTGCCCGCCCCAATGAAAGTGGACTGGGTGAGAGGAGGCTCTGTTTCCAGATCCTCTGGCCAAGTTATTGAGTTAAATACCATTTGCTTTCAAAGCCCACAGAGGCCATTTGCTGGGGGGGAAAAAGGGGGTGGGTGGGAAATCACCATCAAATTTCCTTCTTGTCATAAAAATGGATGCAATTTATTTTTTCTGGCATTCCAATTACATAGACGTTTGTCACCAGCTGTTTGTTCTAACACAGAGTGTTCTCTCAGCTGCTGTTTCTCCTCTCAATTTGACACCGTTAGTCCACAAGTCTGGCAGGGACGGGGCTGGAGGGATCATTGGCTGGGGAGCCTCACAGGTGAGCTCAGAGCCGGCTTTCCTGCTGCCCTCTGATGTTCCCCGGGTGGTCCCGAGGTGGGGTGAAGGCCGGGCTTGCTGCTTTCCTCTCCTTTTCCACATTCTTTCACCCTCACCCCGTCTTCTTTTTCAAGTTGCTCCCCGCCTGACATGTGCTCACAGGTCCCATTCTTCTCCCAACATGTGCGTGAATGAAAACTTGGGGTCTTGGGCATAGTGAACCAGAAGGAACCACCCATGAGACAAGGGAGGTCCCCTCTATTGCTTCACCTGATCGCCCTTTGGAACGCAGAGGCTCTTCAGAGCACCTTTTGGAGTCTCTTTTCAAGCCAAGGTGT